TATATAAATATATTTATATATATTAATAAATATATATATATATCCTGAAAATGATGTGTTTGTGTATTGTTTTATTTTCATTAAAAAAAAAAAATATATATATATAGGACATATCTAACATACTTGTACTTGTTTGCATGAAAACAAAGGGGAAAAACATGGACTTACTGTTATTTATCGTTTATGTTATAATTGTACCGGTCCGGCCCACATGACATCTAATTAGGTTGTATGCGGCCCGTGAACCAAAATGAGTTACACACCCCTGGTCAATTGTGATGTGTTTGTGGGCAGCTACTCTGCCCTCTGCCCTTAGTTTCCCAATTATTTTTCATATTTTGAAACTATAGGGTGAAAGTTTGCCAGTATCTCAGAAGGATCTCAAATCCTGTGACCTGTCATTAAAACCTAAAGAAAGTTTGGACGTTGGGACAGGTTGAATGAATTTAACATAACTTGGACAAAAAAAGGCTAAATACCTTATTTGCAAAGATGAATGTTTTTTTTTATTTGTCAACAAATCTAAACGGTCAATATCTCTCCTAAATGATGTTAATGTTGGGCATGATTCAATAGCCTGACATTAATTAAGGAACAGAAAGTGAGTTTTTCACCATATTTCCTGTTACTTTGGGAGTTTAGAGAACCACACGGTGCTAACGACTGGCACTAAAAAATTTTCTTTTTTTTTTTAAGGATAAGCAGTTACACAATGATCCACGTATTCAAGAAAGATTTGGTGCCAAAATGGCAATATTTAAAATGATGAAGTGTTAATAATATGCTAAAACATACCGTACTAAGATCGCATTTAAAACAGAACACTCTTTTTTTTTTCCTTTCAAACCAGATGTCATGGTTGGTTTTCTATTTAAAATACCGTCTGCAAGTACTTCACGTATCCCCAGAGATGTGAAGTTTACCTCTTGGCTGCTTCCTTACCGCTCTTGATTGGCGTACTTTCATTTTCTACACCCTTTTCCTCCACTTAATGGCAGATTATCCAGCTACCAGTCGTTTTTAGACATCCTGAATGAGATGAACGACTTCGCCGGGCAGAGGGAGCTGATTGCGGAGAACATGATGATGAATATTTGCATTGATCTCACCAAGTACTTGCAAGAGCTGAAGCAGGAGCGCAAGATGGTACGTGTGATTACGGGAGGAGGAGTGGGGGGGGGGATGTGTATAACTGATCTGCAGATTGAATGTATAAATTATTTTCCCTTATGTTTGTCTTCTACATGCTGGCGGAACATAATATTTACATGAAATCTTTGCTGTCGTTGAAACTCTTTGCGTTCAGCACAGCAGTTGTGACAGAGACACATTGTGATAGATATGCATTCATGTAAATATTTAGATTTAGCAGGATAATATCCACGTAAATCTTTAACCTCTGACATCGTACAGGTGCTATTGCTAATTCGGTGAAACGTTGGCGCTAACGTTGGTGAAAGCTACAGAACTTCGTCTATCAAGAAGAGGTTGTTAAAGACTTTCTTTTCGTGAGTTCTACCCAATGACAACAATGCAGTGCGGCAGTACAATACGAACAAACTCTTAGGTTCGAGATGCGCTTTCCAGAAGCACAAAAAAACCAGCAACAATTGCAATTGTAAACAAGCTTTCTTCAGAAATCAGACCTAAAGCTCCCCAATTTGCTACAGTTTGCAGGAAGTAAATAGGTTTTTTTTTTCTAGCTTGAGAAACAATTCCAGAGTGCCTATTAGGTCACAAACACGCAAACATTTTTGTAATTATATTTTCCTTGTTTTCTGACAACATTTTAAATGTTAATGCTACAGTTGTGGGCCAATTTTAAATTTGCTCTTTTTCACATATACTTTTTTTGGGTTCATATTGGCTTTCAACTAGGGTTGTGCGATATTAACTTTTTGCCGATATTGTCCGAACACTGATATTGACGGATAGCGATATAGGCTTGGTAATATTTATTTATTTATCTATACAAACAACTGTATGATTTGCCGGCAAAATCATACAATCATACAATCCTCTGATTAATAAAATAGATCAATTAAATGAGCTGCAATGCTGCCATCTAGTGACTTTCACCTTCATATACAGCCGTTTATCCCCGAAGATATTTTTAGGGCACACATCATTTGGCGAAACCCAGGTATTGCCTTATGGGGTTTTTAAAATCCTATAATGATTCCTACAGATAATAACATAACATAATTATGCTAATATCGCCCCCATCAGTTGGTCGTTATTATCGGACATCCCTACTTTTTACATATAAATAATGTATAAATAATAATAACATATATATATATAATTAAAAAAAATATAAATTAAAACATATATAAATAGTGGTTCCATAGTGTAGCGGTTAGCGTGCTTGCCTCGGAAGCAGAGAGTCCTGTGTTCGATTCCCAGAGGAACCTCAAGGTTGACAATGTTAATCCTCTACTGTAAGTCATTTTGGATAAAAGCATCTGCCAAATGCATAAATAAATTATAAAATTATTATTAATAATTTGCCTATAGATAGATTTTAAGGTTGTGCATTTAGCCATTTTTTAACACTTTTGGACTAGAGTTGCCACATTCTTGTTTGGCTTTTTTCTAATGTTTTAGTTTTACTAAGCTTTGTGCATCCCTTTGGCCATTTGTTTGCTGTGGGTCTTTGCACTAACTTGTAAGGATTTACATCTGAGGTGATAGTGTCCCACTTAAAGTTGAGCATTTGGGCTTTGGCAGATCAGATCAGACGAGAGATTTTGACCAGTATCGGTCTAATGACGATCCTGAGTATCAGATCGAGCCATCCCAGGTTTTCTGTAACACATATTTGTTTTTATATAAAAGACAATAAAGTTGTGGGAATCGTTTTATTTTTGATCAACAACGTCTAGTCCGTCGTTAGTCACGCTTGTTTGTGTCGTTTTAACTGTTCATCATCTTGGTTCCGAGCCCATTCTGAACCACTAACTCTATACTGGTAAACACAAACACATCTCATCTCTCCTGACGCCCAGGTGTCAGACTGTCCAGCACAATATTATGTAAACTTCCCAGACAGGATGTACATTGACGGGGCATATTGTTTGTGTGCTAACAAGAGAACGGAGGGTTAAAGGAGGAGGGAAAATTGACGGGGAGAGAGAAGGGTTTGCGTGGTCTGTCCAGAGAGGAGGAAGAGGAGGCAGGGTTAGAGGGTTGGTTCTCTGCCATTTCTTTTTCTGTTGTGCTCTGGCTTTGTCACACTGAGTCAGAGAACATCTAAGCCACACACACACACACACACACACACACACATACTGCTGCTGTAGCACATGTGATGACTCAAACTCACACACTTTTTTTTTTTTTTTTTTTTTTTTTGTCATTGAACGATGTTGTGCCACTTCAGGAGATTGTTGTTTACTCTGTATCTGCCTCAGCACATCTCTCTCTCTCTGTCTCTCTCTCTCTCTCTCTGCCACGTCACTTTGCTCACTTTCTGTCTTTTTTTTTTTTTTTTTTTTATGAATGCAGTACTTGATGGAGGCCAAGAAGGCCCAACAGAGTTTGGAAAGCACCTACAAGCAGCTTGATAATGTAAGTCTTCCAGAACATCTTCCAAACACATTTTGTGTTCCAATAATTAGTGCTAAAGGTATTCAAATCAATAACACAACAAGGGTGCAGTTGCAAGCTCAGTGCTTGTACGTGCGTTTCGTGAACCGAAAAAGTTCGAAAACTGACACAATTTTCCCCATAGGAATCAATGTAAAATGGATTAATCCGTCCCTGGACCTTGGATGATTGCTCTTTTTTTTTTTCAACAGTACTTTGTGTACAAGTTCGGACGCAAAACCAATGACAATAATTAGATGTGACAAAAAAGATAAACACAACTGAGTAAAGGAGGATTCGTGACATGCGAAATGTTCGCTTTCTCACAAATTTCTGTCTCTAACGGCTTCAAATCTGTCTTTTCCTTTTGCGCCTCAGAGTAAAAAACGCTTCGAAAGAGAGTGGAGAGAAGCAGAGCGCGCTGCGCAGAGCGCAGAGAAGACCGACCAAGACATCAACGCCACCAAGGCAGATGTTGAAAAGGTAAAAGGGACGAAATCAAGCTAAAAGAAAAGGGTTGCTAAAGCTACCGTAGCGTATGACTTTTTAAAGGGTGAAAGCAGAAGGGGGTAATGCTGAGTAACCACTTTGCTCACTGTGCGGTTCGCAGGCCAAACAACAGGCTCACATGAGAGCGCACATGGCGGAGGAGAGCAAGAACGACTACGCTGCGCAACTGCAAAAGTTTAACAAGGAGCAGAGCCAGTTCTATTTTAGTGACATGCCGCTTATTTTCAATGTAAGTCCACGGAAATCCTGCTTTTCCGTAATGATACGGGTTGTTTTTGTGAGGTAAACATTCAGCATGAACTTGATCAAGATTTGACATTTTCTGTTTCACAAGTATAGTAAAGTATCACTAGATCTAGACAGGTAAGTGTTATTTATTATAGAATTATAATTATTATCATTCATAATTGATTGTTTTATATTCAATGTGCACCATTTAAAACAAACTAAGTTCAATGGCTGTGGAAAAATGGCCTAGTTTTTTTTTTTTTTTTTGGCTACAATACTCGTCTCCGGAGTATCAGCGTACTCCTTCCCTGTCCAGTTTTGACAACTCACCAGACGTTCTTCAGTCTTCTTCAGTGTTTTATAATTATCCCACCTGCACTGGGTCGTTTTACCCATAGGCATACAGTATGTTACCATTTTATGACATTTTAAGAGGAAATCAAATAGTTATGTGAAATCAAATGGTTGCCATGGCGACGTGGTCCACAGCTCTCGAGCTAAGATAAAATTAGATTGAACATTATTGATCCCACACTGGGGAAATTGTTGGAGTGGCCTCCAGTGGCTCATTACCATTTCAAAGTAAAGGCAAAGGAAACTCTCTGGACTGTTGAGCGGCTGTGTGTGAAGAATCATTCTCAGCCTCGTCCATGCACCACTGCTGGCCGACATTCCCAAAAACTCAAGCATTAATAGGGATGTTTGTTTAACAAAAATGGCCATTTTTACTCAAACATTAAAAAAAAAAAAAAAAAAATCCTAAAGCTGTTAGGTATTCTCTATGGCAACGGTTACCAACCTTTTTTGGCTTCAGTATTTAAACCTGGTTGGGTATTCTCTATGGCAACGGTTACCAACTTTTTTTGGCTTCAGTATCTAAACCTGGTTGACGCAGCCCTACACTTTTGAGGAAAAACTTAAAAAAAAAAAAACACACATATACATATCCTGCATTTATTTAAAAAATAAAAAAAAAAAAAAAAAACAAAAATGCATGGTTTCTTCTAAAGGCAGCATGTTCAGTCATACCCAAATGACCAGAACACACATATACATAGCCTGCATTTATTTAAAAAATAAAAAACCCACTCCAAATCGTCACATTTTTCAACTCGTGCACCCCCTAGTGGCAGCTCGCGCACTCCCCGGGGGTTCACGCACTTTGGGAATTCCTGCTCTAAGCTAAGGCTGTCACGAATGTCACAAAAATAAATTGTGTCAGACATGGACACCACGTCCTCCTGGTACGCGGTTTTACAGTAGTCCCTCGCTATTTCGCGGCTATTTTCGCGGTTCATCACGACTTCGCGGGTTTTTGAAACGGTATATATAAAATATACCGTATCCCGGATTTGGATCTGCAAGAGATGTCACAGGAATGGGACGACGATACGGTTCGATTGGTCCAATTTCGCAAAACAAAATTGACGCCGTCGGGACTGCCTACGAGCTAGTCTTCGACTGGGAAAAAGAAGCAGCGGAACAATGTTCGGCAGCCTCGCGAAAAAGAGCCAATTCCTGCTACTACTACGGATAGACCTTCGGAAACCGTGGAAGAGGTGCCTCCAAGAAATGGCACCACCTTCTGAAGATCGTCGGCTGCGTAGTAAAAGTCATCATCACCTTCCTCGTCATCATTTCACTGCGCATAAATATGGTGTCACTACTTTGCGGAAATTCAGTTCTCGCGGCAGGCCTTGGAACCTATCTACTAGCTACAAAAACGTCATCATAAGATTGCGTTATATTGGATATGTCCGTATCTACTTCAGACCATATAAACCATAACTGGATAGCTTTTCCGCTAATGTTAGAAATGTTATTTAAAACGTCGTCTCTAAGTAACAAATGTGAACGTGTCTTCACCAGAAATTACAGGATTTGGATGAGAGGCGAGTACGAAAGCTGGCCCAGGGCTACGTTCTGTTTTCAGACATAGAGCGGCATGTGATGCCCATCATCAGCAAGTGCCTGGAGGGCATCACCAAAGCTGGCACTAATGTTAATGAGAAGAACGTGAGTTGAATCCTGGAGCGTTTTTTTCCTCCTTTAGCATTATGTCACGCACTTAATTTTGATGTGTTTGATCGTAACGTTTAACTCTTCTTTTTCCCCCACAATGCCACGCTGTCCAGGACTCCATGGTTGTCATAGAGCAAAATAAGTCAGGTTTTGAGCGACCTGGAGATATGGAGTTTGAGGATTACAGCCAGGGCATCAACCGCGCATCGTCAGAGAGCAGCCTCGGTACGCCTAAAGGTCCCGTGGATCTTCTAGGAAAGAACAGGGGCAAGAACTTCTGGCTTTTCAGCAAAAGAAGTAAGGTAGGAATCACTTAAATGACCAGTTTTCCTTCTGACACTTTTGCAGGAAGAGACGGCATGTACCAAAAAAAAGAGTGAAGTTTGTGTATTAATGTTTGTTGTTGGTCTCTAAATGTTGCTTCTAAAAGTCAAGGTAGGACTTAGGGATGGCTTGATACAACTCTTTGTTGCCCGATACCGATATTGCAACTTGCTGATATTACAGGACCTGCTGATACCAATGTCGAGCGAATATTTTCTTTTCTACCCTAGCATGTCATAGGGCTGCAGTTGCTGAAAGTTAGGTTGAGCGTTTGGACTTAGGTATTGGATCGGACGGTCAATAGTTGGTTTATTTGGGCTTAGGTATTGGATCGGATGGTCAATAGTTGGTTGTTTTTTTTGCGATATTTGATCCTGAAATTTTGACCAATCTTGGTCCGATGCCGATCCTAAGTATTCTCAACAGGCCTTTTCTTCTAAGATAGTTGGTGACTTTTCTAGAACGTTTATTTCCGTGTTACTGTTTGTGTCAAAAGGCAGAGTCAGAAAAGCACACGGCAGAAGCAGTCATGGCAACATTTTTTTTTTTGTGGAAACCACAAACACAGTAACACAGTAACACATCTGTCACAATAATAGGTGTGGACTCCACCACCTTTATTCCCATGTCTAAAAAACAAAATGGTGCTTTGCATGACTCTGTCTGTGACTATTAGTGAATAACTCTTGCCTCCTACAGCTTTCACCCTCCACCCTCTTCCTCCCTTCAGTGTGGTTTCCAATGGGTCTTATTGACAGAAATTTTGCTGTGTTTGTGCTGCTATCAGCACATGGGCCAAACCACTGACCTTTCTTCTGCAGGGATCAGCAAACTTGGGAACACAGTCGCACACACACAAACACACACATAGGTTTCAGTGTTCAGAATCAAGCATGATACGACTGGCCCTTACGTTCACGGGCTCAAAACTGGGTCAACAGAAAAATTCTTGTGTAATTGTGTTGTAGCAGTCAGGAATGTAACAATTGCCAGTTACTTAATATGTATATTTTGTTCTCATGTTAAAAGATCACATCATTATTTGATGTTATTTTGGTATATACTTGTAGGCTGGATTGGACGGTTTGGTAACCTGGATTTGACCCGCGGGCCACTTGTTGATGACTGGTGTCGTATAGGGTGAAACTTCGGTTGTCGAACGCCTCCCTTTTTGAACAATTGGGTTCACGGACAAAATCTTTAACCCAAAATTGCCCCGGTTGTCGTACCATAACTCGGTTGCCGAACAAGAGACGGTACCATGCAATCAGCAAGTGATCACTAAGTGACCAGATCTGGCTATTACGGTATGGTTTGGCAAAGTCGTCGATTTGTACCATCGTTAAGAACAAGGAAGCAATAAAAGACGCTAAAGTTGCCAAAGGAGTGACTGTGATCACCAAGCAAAGATGTTTGTTCAAGTGTGAATTACTTACCGTTGTCGGTCTCCTCCGAGGTACGGCTACGCTAGGCTAACCTTCCCACAGGGTCCTCTTTCTCTGGGATTTAAGACATCTGTAGTTTTTGATTCAATATTGGTTTTCTGGAGCTGAGACACTGATTTTCCCCGGTGGACTTTGTCTTAGTTTGTGAATCTGATCGTCTGCAACAAACAGTCTTGAGATATCTTGGACATAAACGGCTAAACGGTTGTTGATTGTTTGTGTTCCTGCGACCTTTGGTGTTTTCACAGAGGCCAAACATCCATGCCTCAGTGTTTTCGCTCTTTGATTTTTTTATTTTTGTTTTACATGTGAAGCTGTTAGTGACATACCTGAACCAATATCATACAGTTTTTCTATGTTGATGCCAATAATCCAAAGGTTAATAATCTTACAGTTCCGGTACGATTGGTGCTTAAATAGAAAAAAATTACATCAAATTTTACCTTTATTTTAAGTCGCATCGAGTAAGTTACTAGAATTCTTGCCTAACAAACAATCATTTTTTTCATCCCTGTTTTTAATCATCAGTTCACATCAATCGAGGCCATGTGTGTTCCTTATTTACACTGGGGTCACGTGACACTGATGACCCACGTAGTCTGCTTGGTTGATCGTCACTGTACGAGATGAAAATTTACAAAGACTTTTTCGGGACACCACACTGGTGGTGATTTAGACCAGTAAATGTAATGTTTTCTGATACACAATTGACACTACGTCTTCATTTCGATGACTAAATCCTAATTTTTTACGGTTGTAAAAGCTGTCCAGCCTAGCTAATTTAGTTAGCTCCCTAAAACCTTGAATTTTGAGTAGTGGGCCAGTTGAATTTCGATGTTGGAAAATGAAGCTGTTTGAGCTACTGATTTGGTATTTTGATGGAAAGAACAAGCATTTGACATTTGGAAGGTGACATTTTGGAAGATGACTAAATCGTAATTTTCCTGTAA